CTTATGATGGTAAATAGCCTTAGTGTGGCTTCATATCATAGATAGATAGTCACCTCTATCCTTCCTATATACTTCTTTATAGAATATAACAATGAATAATCATTCTACATTGATATGAGATCATTGAGTGTATACCATTTCCAATCCCTCACCGCCACGTACTTCCATGTACCAAAGTAGATCTCCAGCGTTGTAATATCAACTACGCGCGCTTTCGAACGACGCCACACACTCTCATGTGTGGTAAAGTTTATGCCGAACACATCTTCCAGGTAAAAATGATGACATCTAATCATCCGAAGGTTCTTGCCGGAGGTACACGATGCGGTAGAAGTGGCATACAACAAACCGGCCTCTCCACTCCACAACGACTGATCCCGCTTTCCGCAAAGCTTCTCCCCTTCCAAAGCGCAACCATGACCCATCCTCGATCCCTCAGGACGCGCATCACGCGCCCCGACCCAAGGGTCGAAAGAAGCCCCATCGCCTTACCACTGCCAGAACAATCGCGGAGACCTTTCCGATCCTTGCTGACCCGCGATCCGAGATCAAAGCCACCGAGCGTGAGGCGCATGATCCGGCGCGCCTGTGAGGACGTGACGACAGAATCTCCTTTGGATCGAGCGTCAGCGTTCACCTTTCGGGACCTGGATCGGCTTCGCAATGTAAAATTGGATCAGCGACCAGCCGGGTTGCGGCGGCCCGGTACGTTGCGCGTGCCGTCGCAGCTGTTATGCGAAGTTTAGCCTGTTGCCTTAGAGGAGCAGTGCGTTTCACTGATCGTCGTTTTTGAAAGAAGACTTTAGAGAACTATGCCTACGTCAGTCGAGACGTCGCCGCCTGGCATGGGCATCTTTTTCTGAACTTCCGAGGCATTAACTTGGCACTTCTGCCGAACTCAAGACAATGCGCTCGATCCTACCGCCGATAACCGCCCAGACCGAGGCAACAAATTAGCGTGGTTTTTCTCCGCGTCTTAACCACGCGACTTTTTTTATTCTTCATAATAACTCCACCATATCAAGTTCAATATAGCTAAAATTACTACTCTACCTACTCTTAATAAAAAAGAATTAAATTAGATTATAAAATATTAAAAAAGAGATATTTAAATTAATATAAGAAAGAAGAGATTTAAATAGCGTAATATTCTTTTTTAAAGTATATTTTTATTATTAGAGTATTAGCTAATAAAAATTAAAAATTATATAATTATTAATTATCTTTTAAGCGATATAGAAATTACTTTATATATAATATTTAGTCTTATATAAAGTACTATTATTTAGAATATACTTTATAGAAATATTAATTTATATATCTCTTTATAGAGTATTTTAGATTTTATCTAAAAGCTTATTAATATTTCGAAGCTAAAAATCTTTATCGCTATTATAATCTATATAGAAATCTTTTATTTTTCTATTATTTATAATTATTAAAGAACTAATAGAATTACTTTAATAACTTTATTAATTATTAGAAATATAACTCGAAATCGCTATATTCTTCTTCGAAAATTTATTTATTACTTAAATCTTATTAAAGAGAACTCTAGAATTATTAAAATAGATAGATATAAATAATCTATATAATATAAAAAGCTTTAGCTATTTATAAGTAAAATACGAAGTAATTAAAAGAAGCTTTATATTCTAAGTTTTTATATTATAATTAATAAATATATAATTAAAAAGATAAGATATATATATTATTTTATAATAACTTTAGATAAACTAATTAAGAAGAAATATAAGCTTTTCGTAATTAGCGATAAAGACTATCTCTATAATTATATCTAATATTCTTCTATATAAAGTCTTAAAAGTAGATTAAAAATTAAGAATCTTAGAGATATATTAGTTATAATATTTAAATTAATTATTAATATATTATTCTATAACTCTATTCTCTTTATAAATAATTATTTTATTAAATCTAAGCTAGCTATAGCTCTAAAAAATAGAGAAATTACGATATATAAAATTATAAAGTTAAATTAATTAAATTAATTAAATCTTCTAAAATTACTTATAAAGATAAAATAAATCTTTATAAGAGATATTTTATATAAAGTTTTCGCTATAGTAGTTTAGAATAATATATTAATAGTAATTTAATAAGATAATAATCTTATTTTAGCTCTAATTATTATATATAATATAAGAGAAATTAATAACTCTATCTCTAAAAAGAGAAAATATTCTAATAAGACTAATATAAATAATTATATAATTCTATCTACTTTTAAAGAGAATAATTAGAATATATAAGAGAAGAAATTTTTAATTTTTAAACTTTTCTATTACTATAATAAATATATAAAAAAAATTAATCGATTTAATATTTTAATAATTATATATTCTTTTTAATAAATTTATAATTAAAATTAAATATCTCTACTTTATTAATATTTAAATAGAAATCTTTTAAATATTTTTAAACTCTATAAATTAATAGAAATATTTTATTAAAAGTATTAGAAGTTTCTCGAGCTAATAATAATAGAATTAATTAAAAAAGATAAAGAAGATATTTAATTTCGGCCGCCTTCTACTTTAATTATTACTCTATTAAAATTATTATAAAATAATTATAACTAATAAGATTTAAATACTATTTAATAATATCTTATATATTATTTTAATATTTAGAAGAGATATTTTAGTAGAGATATTAGTAATAATAATAGAGAAGTATTAAAGATTAAAGGGGGATACGCTATATATAAAGTCTCTTTATATTATAAAGGGAATTATATAGAATAATTCTATAATAGAAAGGATTAAATAAAGTCTATAGAATAGATCTAGATTATTGAGTATAGATTATATAGTAGTTATGGAGTGATAGTATTGATAATAGTGGTAGAAATCGCATTTGTTGCCTTCGGGCGGTTATCGGATAGCGAAGCGACGACCAAACATGTTTGCCTAGCGACCACTTCCCTCGGCCGCGATCGCTTTAGTCTTCCATCGCCTTTCTCACAATGTGAACGCTGCACGCAACCAAGTCCAGCCGAGGTGATTCGACCCTTTCCTTCCTCACGAGTGCGTGAATCCCAACGGCCCACAAATCTTCCACCTAAAATCCCCCTCCTGGCATCGGCTCAGGTCAACACGCTGATCAACCGTGCCGCTTGCCGATAAAATCGTCAACACCGGCCTCGTAGCAGATGAGGAATTCTCCGACGTCAACGTCCCGTCGGAAGAGGCCGTTGTGTTCTCCGTGAACGGAGACAGAGCGGCGGGATCGACATTCCAGCAGTCGATGTAGGTTAAAGTGGGTCCTTGTTTAGAACAGTCCATCTGGCCAACAGTGTCATCCATGACCCCGAGACGCGCCTCGAGTAGCGCTCGCCGGGGCTACCGACGGGCAGACGCTGAATGGCAGCTTCTAAGTTATCCCGAACCACGACCCGACACGCCAATCATTATCGCCGCAGTTGAAGGCTTCAAGCGAATCCGTGTTGAGCCCCATTTCCAAGCTGAAGTAAGAAGTGCTCAACGCTGCACAAAGTATTCATCAATGCAGTTCCCTCTCCCCCCCACCCCTCGCCTTCTTTAGAGGAGCATGATTTCCTCCAAACTTACAAGAATCTCCATAATTGGCATCTGGGATCGTTGACATAGTCGGTCGGATTGGACAAAACTCTAATCACGAACCCGCCTTCTCCCTTGCCACGCACACACTCGCTCATGATTTGGTTTGGCCATTTCTCCGATACCGTCCCCCGCGAACAAGATCGGCCTGATCCAGTCGTATTTCGCCGAGGGACCGGAGATCTCGGAATTGAATCTGGCAGGAAGGTACCCAGTGGATTTCCTTTTAGCATCAGACCCAGGGAACCCGTGACGATTGGCCTGCTTCCACTCACCAGGTCTGAAAACACAGGGCAGATTCCGATCATCACAGCGCCCGAGGATGTTTGTCCACTGGATCGTATTCGGGCCGATGGAAAGCGATTGGATGGTATTCGCGCAACCGTAGATGTTGGGGATACCGGGTCGACCCCCCCAGTCCCACGGATCACAGCCCGAGATGTCTGGAAGAGTCAAAGATATCCAATTCGCCCATCTCAGTACCTCACTCCGTACGGAAAGAAACCATACCGTGACAATTCGTCTTGACGAAACGTGCGCGATCCGGCTTCTACGTTCCAGACCTAGAGCCGACCCGCGCACGTCACTCGCCGCTAGACTATGACCAACGCAAAAAGCGGTAAGGAATGCGCAACATCGCAAGGATGTCTTACGATATCATTTTTGAAAGGGTCAACATTGCCTCCGAAGCACTCTTGAAGAAGTTAGAGCGGGTTCGCGATGTGCGATTTAGCCTTTGGAAAAGAAGTGGGACCAGACTGGGGAAAGGGGTTAAACGAGTGTGGTCCAACATGGTAATTAATAACGCTTTCGTCCGTTAACCTCCCTATGCTTACCTTGAAAACGAAACGCTCGAACCGTGTACTGTCGCTTCGCTTCTCTCCCATCGCACGTCACCACGGTTTCCAACAGTGGGATTGAGGACTAGTGGGTACGGGGCGGAATCCGGTGGCCAGCCGTTCATCCGATCCGATTTTGTATCGCATCGGAAAGGCGCGAGCGGGGGTGAGTTTATGTGATGCGGTGGCCGAGGACATTGCGGTATTGATGTAATGGTAGAGATATGTAGAGTCGAGGGTCTCCCCGTCAAGAGGCATCAGGGTAAGGGAAACGGCGGCGAATATCGTAGTAAAAGCACTTGTACAGACAGGAAGAGAAAAAAATGAACCTCAGTCGCTCGCTCGCTAAATTCACAACCGGAGTCGTATACACCTAAAGCACTTCGTTTACCTGTCGTACCGTTCCTACCGTATCCCGAACCCCTTGATTCCAGTACTAGTCATGAGTTTCCCCCCCCTGTCCCACGCCCCATTTCCTATTTGCGTCCTCCCGGGCCCGCACCCATCTATATCCTGCAGGTTGTATCCACCAAAAATGTCAAATGCATTGGAAGAGGCGCTATCTCGAGTTCTTGACCAAATCTCTAGGATCGCAAGTGTCGAAGAAAAACAAGCCTCCTTCCCAGCTGGACGACTGTGCACGACCGTCGAGATCAGAAGGCAGGGTCCCAGCCGTCTTGGTGTTGCGGGTAGGTCCGTGGTATGTCCTGGACTGCTCTCCAAGCATATCTGCGGCGCCTGCGGATTGCAAGGGGCTAGGTGTGATCGATGGAGCGGCTTGCCAGTGCGTACTTGTGCCAGAGCTGTCGTATCCCGACGGGGAGGTAAAGTCGGTAAGGCTGGATGCTGATTGGATCTGGATTTGTGAACAAACGGGTTGCGACCGTGTCGCACTGCTAGCGCTGACGGTTGGGAACCCTCCCGGCGCTAAAGGGTAGGCGCCTTGATACTCCATGCTAATTTGTGCTTCTGGTGCATCACTTCGTTCCAATGCCAGCCCATATGTCGGCCTCAAACAGCTAGTACTAAGGGCTGCGATGTGGTTTCCATCCAAAGACCAGGGATGTTCCGAGCCTTGCGCAACTTCCACGAGCTGATGCTTACTGTTCATTTCCAGGCTCTCGGCTGGATCAGCGAAAAAACCCATTGACCCCTCGCCTTGGCCGATGAAATTTAGACCCGAGAGGATCATTTGGGGATACTGCCCGTTGGAGTTCTGCCGGCTCAAATTGAATGCAAGCATCCTGTATGCAGCAAACGCAAGGGTCTCTGCCGCATCCTCTGCCATCTCCAGTCTTCGTTGTAAGTCTTCGATCATATCCCTATCCCAATGAAGATCTCGGTCACTTGCAAAATGGTCTGAGATAAGTAGATGTTGGAATGAGCTGGCTACCGTCGGTGAAAGCAAGAGGCCTCGAATCACATTGGTGGCACTCCACTCATTTATCAGTTGACCTTTCCTGAAATGATCCATATCGATATGGTTCAACTGTTCGAGGATTGTAGAGAAGATACAGACGCAGAATCCACATGCATAATGTTTCTTACGGAGTGTTCTTTTCCATTTATCAGCAAGACCGCGAGTACGATTGTCAGAGACTCCATGAGATCGCAGCAGATGCCCTTCGAGGTTGGCCCTTCTTGAAACGCCGCGACGCTTAGCGGATGTGTCCCCACATTCACCAATGGAGTGGTCAGCCATGTGGCTTTCGCTGGGGTTCATTGAACCACAAAGCGCACAGATCAGCCCAGTTCCTGCAGTTTCAAACGGCCCGTACGGCATGCAAGGCCAGTCTGTCTCATGTTCTTTCATGTGTCTCTTCCACCCATCACAAGTGGTATAGACCTGAAGGTTCCGGTGTGTATCGCAGAACATATTTACGCACCTCCAAGGTTGTGGATTTGTGACACGTGATGGACGAGCTTCTTGAGTGAAGACTTGTCGTGGGTTATTTTTCACGAAGCGATGTGAACCGAGGGAGTTTGTCGACGTGATATGAGAGTTCTGGCCGCCGTAGGCTGGTAAATAACCGGAAAATGCAGAAGATGGTCTCGTAGTCGTCCTTAGTGGTCGCCGTAACGCATTTTTTGAGCTACGTGTCACAGCACTTTGAGGTGTGGGAAGACCGCTGATGTGCGGGTTCCGAGATTGACTTCTCGCTCCTACCACTGTGTATCAGAGTCAGTTCTATGGGTTTCAGGATGGTGGTTGCTCCCGACCTCGAGAGTATCTCAACCACAGTAAGACAAGACTATCAGGACAAAGTTTCAGATGTGAAAGTGCGTCAAGTTGTTCTCCAGAAAGGCCTTCAAGACATGGGTTATGAACATGGCGTATCAGACGAATGGCGGACAGCAAGTCCAAGACCTTGCTATCCTCGAAATACTTTAGAGTCTCGATAGCCGATAGCTGCAGTGGTGAGCGGTAGGTTGACTCGTCAAGCTCATCGACGGAAGCAGCAATGGCTTGTTTCTCTTGTGATTGGGATTCTTTGAAGTGCTCAGAGCTCTTTGAGTCAATATCCCGGAAGCTCGATGGATAGTTCCAGTCCTGGAAGGAATGCTGAGTCGACGACATCGGTAGCGAAGGACGAATGTGTGTACAAGTCTAATAATTATCCAGGTAGAAAGGGTGAGGCATCACTGCTCGCTGTGAGGTCCCACAAGAATGAAGAGTGACTCGCCTTCTCAACCGCCATCTAGGACGGATTGAAGCTGGTTGAATGAGAGACGAGTTGAAAGACGCAACGGAACTGTCTTGACCCAACTTTTTTCCTGATTTCTGGGCGGGCGAAATTCAAGATGGGAAAGATTAGCCATATGTTAGCCGATGATCATTGGCAGGCGCTAAGCAAGGGTCAGCGGAGTCCTTAATTATATCTTACTTTAGGTTCATCTGATTAGGGACGACAAGGCTGCAAAAAGAAGGGCATCGCCAATAAATTATTGGGGGCACCATGGGGAGGCTTGCCCCCCCACATATGGGCCGAGTCGGAGATTACATGACACTTGTGGCGCACGCAGGAGACGATTTCGTCACACATCACAGTATCGTCCTTCTCTCAAATTATTATAATCAACAGTGTGACGAGACTAAGATGATTTTGAAGCCGAGGTGCCTGGAGCATGAATTAAGTTGTGTAAATGTGGCCTGCTAAACGGGTGTGGCGCACGACCCCACCAGACCCCTGGATCCTGGATTCCTGGGCCGCCTAGCAGTGGTTTTGCCGGCGGCCACGGGAGATACCCGTTCTATCCCCGAGGCTGGGCTCACCCATTACCACGGATCAGCGAGCCCAGCAGAGTGAATAGACTTTAATGGATCAACGTCTGTTCCACAGTCCACATGATTCTTCTTCCCGAACGCGAACAGTGCTGCACCCAATTTCCCGCACCCAGGGAACCGGAAACCACCTGGGTCCGAGCACTCGCTGCACCTTCCACCCAGGCCATCCAAAGTGGGAAATGGCGCTGCAGATCCGACGGTCGAGACTGAAGGGGAAGAGAGTAGATGGGTGGACATTGATCCAGTGGATGGAGCGCTTGTTGTGAATATTGGTGACATGATATCCCGATGTGGCGGAGGAAAGTGGAAAGCGACGGGACACAGAGTTGTGAATGAAGGAGTGGGGTTATTGAGGGAAGAATAGGCGACTGGTCAAGGAATCATCCCACCTGTGCATGCCCCCGAGTCGTGTCATTCGTGCGCGATAGCTAGCGAGCGCATTAGCCCAGCATGCGCATGTCCTCTAAATTCCAATAACCAAATCCATGGGAAGTCAAGCAGAAATCTCTTCCTTATCTGCGGTAGCTTTCAAAACCCCCCACTCGCATGCCGAGCGTGTGGCTAAAACCATGACATCCTCGTGGCAGAGCGTACCCTAGTCTAGCAGCGCGGAATATCTCCGCCGCCGAAGACGAGCGCTCGGCTGTTGTTAGAGGTATTTAGTTCGTATTAGGTTCGATTCCTAATGGCGCTGGTACAATGGTGGTACGGTACTTTTTATTTTCTGGCAACGCCATTAGCCTCAGATTTTAAAATTTTTAACTGGGAACAGCCATCAATTCGAATTCCGTGCGATGCATTGATTTGCAAAGCGAAATATTCGTTGATTCACTTAACGTCCGGGGCGGACGTCTGTTGGTTGTGGTCGTGTTGTTAGAGGTATTTAGTTCGAATTAGGTTCGATTCCTAATGGCGCTGGTATAATGGTGTCGCGGTGCTTTTTATTTTCTTCGGCACAGCGTGATTGGGAGATGCGTTATCAAATCCCCAGCCAAAAACCCACGCAGGGCCTACCGGGCTGAGGAACGCAATGCTGGCATCATGAATACAAGTAGTAGCTTTCCCGAGATGCAAAAGCCAGAAATATCACAGTGGCTCATTCAAACGTCGAGGAGCCTTCATAGTAGACCTACCTATCACAGACTAATCAAGGCTTCGTGCAGTTTCCCGCTGGCTGACACTCACAATGAGAATCGTGTGGATCCATGTTTACTATTTCTCAAGCGTCTTCTTTCAGGTACGGGCGGAGGGTTACGGTCTTGCCGAGGCACTAGCACTAGCGCGTCTTGGCACTGCATGTGTACACTAAGGTACTGATGAGACTTTCCCATCCCATATGTAGAACTTCATCAGTCATAGAGTCCCTCAACTCGTATCACACGCTAATTGCCACGTACTCTACGCAAACATATCATCAGTACCTGGGTCGTCGCTGGACACTGCTGGTGTCGGCCAGATATGCATCCCGCTGGTGATGCTGCTTTGCTCTTGATGCACATTGAGGCCGGTGTATTGGTCTGCTGCAGATGAACTTTTCTGGAAAGGATCCGATAGCCAAGGATCTTGCATTAAGCTACTGCCATCGTCCGAAGAGGAAGCTTGGAAGGTACCGTAGTCGTAGGTGGCCGTCGGAACCCCGCCCAATGCCGAGACACCATGATGAAGGGTGTCGGCGGGTGCTACAAACTGAAACTGGTCGTGTTCCGAGCTCGGCTCATATGCTCCTTCCGTGATGGAACTATAGCCGCTTGTCGGCACAATAGCACTCGATCCTATTGCTCCATCAATCGGTGCAAAGCCAAGCGGCTTGTAGTCGTTGAGCAAATGCCAATTGGACTGGCGCGCGTTGTACGCTGCTTTCGCGAGAGCTGCCGCATGCTTTGGATCGGATGGCCCTATCTCGAGATCGTGCTGCAAACCTTTCACAACATGCCTTTCCCAGATGATTTTTGAAGACTCCCAGCCCAGTGGGGAATCTAGTTGAGTTTTCCAGGCACTCGCCATTCTTGGTTGTAACAACAAGCCTTCTATTACTTTGGTAGTGTCCCACTCATCAAGTACTTGACCGCGCTCGAAATGCGTTGCGATATGCTTGAGACGATCTCCAAAGGTGTGGACCAGGTAACCACAGAAACCACACGACCACGCTTGCTTCTTGGTGGTTTCTTTCCACTTATCCGCTATGGCTCTACCTTGAACCTTCCCCTGAACGTCGTGACATTTCTTCAAATGTTCGACCATGTCAGCCCTTCTCTTACAGGAGAACGAGCCTGGGACTCCCTGTCCACATATCTGGATCTTGTGCGCGCCAAGATGCTTTTCGCTTGGGTTCGATAGTCCGCAAAGGATACATTTGGTGCCGCCCTCAGTCTTTTCTAATGGGGCCCCAAGCATACAGACATATGTATCCACATGCTCCTTCTCGTGTTTCTTCCAATCCGAGAGATTCTTGTAGGGGCGCCGGACTTCGCAGATAGTGCACCAATAGAGATTGACTGCCTTTGTTGCTTTGCGTGAAGTATCGGTCTTGTCAAACGTCTGGTGCTGGTGAAGGTCGGAAGTATTCGGGGTGATTTGATGGGAGCCTTCAATCTGAACGCCATTGGGCGGCGCGCGGACAGATGCGCTACCGCCGGGAGCGTGCGCAGTTCCCTGCAAATGCCCCGAGGAGGGGAGGTACGAGTATGCGAAGCCAGATTCTTGGCCGATAATGCCCCGCGGGCAATTGCGTTGTTCAGTATCGCTTGCTAGTCAGCGTCAGCTCTTTGAAACCCAACAAATATCGTAAGTCCTCACAAAGCTTGCGAGCTTGTTCCAACCAGGTCCTGATTTTATCATCGGCATAGTCTCTCAGTGCCCCGACAGCCAGGACTTGGTCGCTTGAGAGTGAGCCATGGCCAGGAAAATAGTGGAGGCTTGGACTGAGAGACCGCGCAAGTCTGAGGTACGCGAAAATGATTTTGTCATGCTGATCGAGTAAAATCGTGATGGCCTTCTGCGGCTCCAGACGAGTGGTTGCGGAATTCTGCGCCAATGACGGGGAAGGTCTGTCTAGCGCATGAGCTAAGCCTGAAACGGGCCTCTGCAAATCGTCAAAACCCATTATTATTAAGAGCACGAAAGAACAAAGGGCGAGAGGTGTGAAATTTACAACTATATGTCGCTGTTCGTCTGATTGATCTGACTGACCTGCTTGGCCAACCTGGCCGACCCGAATACGTTGTGAGAGTGGTGGACCGCCGAGCGGAATTCACGGTATTGCCACCCCAGAATACTAGCGTGCTTCTTCAATTCGCTCTTTCGTAGAGGACACAACCAGCTCTCATACCATTGCGACGATAGCTTCTTGCAACAGAATTTTGGGGTACAAAGTTTCAAGTCAGCATGATCTCTACAGCTTTGCTCCCACAGATGCTGAGCCGATTATCGTTGTTGTTGGAAATTATGAATGGCAAGGCGACTACACCTTTCTCAGATTAAGATACTCGTACTATCCAGAAGTGAGTAGCCTCGCTTAATAGCGGAGGGAGAGTTGACCAATCAAACTACTTAGTTCACCGCGAAAATCGTAGTTTGATTGGTCAACTCTCCCGGCGCTATTAAGCGAGGTTACTCACTTCTGGATAGTACGAGTAATTCATGGCGATGTCGGCAGGCTCGTAGATCGGTCGGAGCGATTGGTCCATCCATTTCAACCCTGGCATCAGGCCTTCCTGCATCATGCCTGCAACATTCCTTCTCTCGCATGAACCAGCACATCAGTACTCTCGCTTACCCCAGGTATCTTAAGGTCACACATCCGTAGAATCGAAACGTAATTCCATTCTAACTCAGCCTTCATCGCCGCTATACATACAAGAGCTTATATGCCCGTTCGCAACTACTGTTGCAGCTTCACGTTAACAGAGACAAATGAGGAAAGCTGATGCTTTCCGCGATTGTCTTCCTCGGCCCCAACAGCTCAGGGGAGCTAAGTGAGGTAGCGAACCCCTCGGGCGGGTAAGCACCCTAAATTTGGGCCTAGAGTGTAGTCGAGGCCTTCAGTGCGTCATCCTTTCCAGACACGAATGCAATGTAGTCTCAGTACTCAGACTCTATTCGGAAGGGTTGGTGGTAGTGGTGGGTCGGAAAAACATTTTTTCCGCGCCGAAATTAGTCTCAGTATGTAAATGCAACGGCAGAGGATGCCAGTACGAGCCAGGCAGCAATTCACGTGCGCTTTGCTACCTCAGTGCCCAGCTTTTGGCGCTTGAGAGCTGTGTATCCGGGCAGACGCTCCTGAATCGAAGCCATTGCCTGGGAATTGGACATATCGAGGAAGAAATCTGCATCTAGCTTGGCTGAGCCGAGCTGATCTGATCTGTATGGGCACTTCACGCAGTGCACAGCGAGGGCACAGGAGGCTAGGATGACAGCTGTACTGGGAAGATAAGTCGAAGAGCGGTTTAGGCAACGCGAGGAAATCAATCCAGCGCTCTGTTGTCCAGGTAGACCAGGGTAGTCCTGACGTGGAAGATAAAGACTGGGGAGGGCGCGCGACCGGGTAGCAGAAGCATGCTCGTGGAGTCTTCGACGGGAGCACACAACGGAGATGTCGTACAGGGATAACATGACAGACAGAATACTAAAAGGGTCAATAAACCGCTGCCTACTGTCCAAACGCAACCCATCTGGTAGCGGACCAGGATGGAGTCCTAGCTCGGAACCTGGTAGGCACGGGCGCCATTGGAGAGATTCGGATTTGTGATGGCGTTCCGGAAAAGACGGTAAAATGCAGTGCTGACTAGGAGAAATAGCTTTGACAAATACTCCGCTTGACTGGTCTTACTAATTGGTTTCGGTATAGTACCCAATAATTGAAGAAAACAGCGGTCACGCACGGCCCCTTCTAACATAGTGCTTGCTCCGATGTTAGCCTGGGGGTTCAGAAGAGTTCAGAAGGATTCTGAAAACGCGCAAATTTGGCATCAACTCCAATGCAGTGATCGAAACATTCACTCCATGTGTTCGTGTCCTGCTCATTATTTCGTTACATACATTATTAACCGTACCAATCTGGTGTCAAATAAGGCGCGTCTTGACCACCGTAGCTTCCTGACGGCTCATAGCCGTTGAAGAAGGTTTCGGTTTCTGAGGCAGAAGTCCAACTTTGAGAGTGGTTCAAGGATGGCATCGCCGGCTCTAGCGTGTTGCCGAGGGGAGAAGTGCTCGTCGGAGCTCCAACGTATGAAGGATCGCTCGGCATGAGATGGGCAGTAGAATCCATGGTCGCTGAACTCGGGCGATGGTACAATCCAGAATCGGACGTTAGAGCTGAGGTCGCCTGATAGGGGTTTGGTGATGACAAGAGACTCAACTGTTCCATTGCATCCGAATGGGGGATGGCGTGGGTCGTGCCGCTCTGAGACCAAGATCCTCCATTGGATTCGCTTGCGGAATAGACTGCGTCCGCAAGGGTATTTGCATGATGGTCATCCGAGGGGCCCCTCTCCAGCTCTGCTCGCAAATCTTTTGCGACTGCCTTATTCCAAGCAAAGTTTTCCGGGTGCGCCCAAGGAGTCAGTAACGCTGTTCTCGTCTTCCAGGCGTTTTCCATCTTCGGCTGTTGCAAAAGGCCCAAGATCACCTTGTTCAAGTCCCATTCGTGGATGCTTTGATGCTCTCTGAAATGCTTGATATCAATGTGCTTGAGACGATCTTGAAAGGTTGAGAATATGGCAATGCAGAAACCACAAGACCATGCTCGCTTCCCCACGGTGTGTCGCCATTGATCTGCGAGCTCACGGCCTCGATGTGCGTCCATTATTCCATGCAACTTGTTCAAATGATTGACCATGATGTCCCTTCTCTTGCAGGTGAACCCGTTCGAGGCGTGACATTGGCCTGCCCTGCTACTTTCTGCGGCATCATCCAGACCGCAAATGAATATTGTCTCGTGTTCCTTCTCGTGTTTCTTCCAACTTCCACTGTCTTTGTAAGACTTCAATTCTTCACATACTGTGCACCAGTAGTGGTTGTCAGTCTTTTTCGACCTAGTCGACTTGGAAGACCTGCTGAAGTCGTGTCTGGGAAAGTGGTCGGTAACAGACTGCGATCCCCAAAGCTTGGGGATTAGTTGTGATGGACCCGTCGCAGTTGCCTCCGTCCCTAACGTGAGCTCGGCTACAGACTGTTTCGGCTGCGCGCGGAGGGATGGAAGCAGGGTGTCAGAACCAGACCCAGACTCAAGGGTTGGAGAGGTTGGACCATGACCTACTAAAGGCTGTCAGCTTTTCCTCCACCTTTACATATGATAGCTTATCTACTAACAGTGTAGACGGGCTAGCTCTAGCCAATCCAAGATCCTACCGTCTGGGCAGTCTTTCAAGGTAGATAGCGCAAGGACCTGCAAGGGAGAAAGGTGCCTCTCTCCGGGACCCGGCTCCAGAATAGGCTCGATATGGCGAGTGGATCGAGCAAACATGAGCAATAGGAGGACTTCATTGTTGTTGAAGTCTGTCAATGTTGAAGCTGCGTTCTGCCGCTGTTGCACGCTAGAGGCATTGAATGACGAATAAGAGGGTCCCGCCGCACTAGATTCGAGCTCGATTTGCTTGGCACAACTTTGTGCCGCGATATCAGAATTAATGCATGCATAATTATTCATTGTGCGGGCTTGGCTGGATGTCTCTAACCGTGTTGGGGAGTCCGGATCGAGCTCCGGAAAGGGTGCTGATGGTGTCTGTCGCTCTCGCCTTAAAGGCAAGATGAGAGAGGAACTGGACTGATTGATGTCTGGAAGAAAAGATAGCCGAGGAATACTTTGAGAATGGAATCTGGTATTTGCAGCAGACGCAACAAAGGACAACTACCAGTGCTTGTTATTTGATGATGGGCGCTGAGAATATCTGAAGCCTCAGTGACGGCCATGGCCGTGTCTGGCTGCGTCTACTACTTGCTATCCTATTTTCCGTGCGCTCGCACCTCACTCATCATTACTTCTTGCCCAGCACTGTTTGGATGAGAAATGGCTGCTTACGTTGGAGCATGCAGATCAAGATTCTTCGCATGTACCATTAACCTAGCCTCAGATTCGGAATGGTCACAGCTCGCTTGAATGCGCTTCAATATGCTTGCTTTTAATCTCACTTCGACGGGCTTCATAGATTGTCAGCGACGACTGATTCTTGAAAAAGTTGATGTTTCATGGCCACAACTGACTGAGTCGTATAAGTCAGGAAATACATGTGGCAAGGGCAAGGCTGAGAAGGAATAACATGCGGGCGGGAGGGCCCGCTGTTAATCTCCAAAGGAGAGACCAGTTGTTGCTAGATCCCAACCATTCGCAGGATCGCTAAGCGTGGCGTATCGTGAGTGGCCAGTGCCAGATAATCGATTGATAAGTATGCACCACGTCCGGGGTGAAAGGGATGGATTGATTGCGCAGGATGGAGATCCCTGTTAATCTAGAGATCCCTGACATATTTGTAGATTTCCCGCCAGCCTTCGGATGAATATTGAATTAGTGGGATGGCAATCGGATGCTGGCCAGAGATCTGCAGCCTGCGTCATGCATATGAAGGCGAAAGATGAGTAGATGGGTCAAGAGTAAGAGCAAAGCAGCTAAGCAGCTCCCCATTTGCCCCGCTCTACCCACTTGAAGCTTCACGCCGTTTGCTATCTTGGCATGTCCTTCGTCTAAGCACCCCCTTTCCCTTCTTTTTCTTCTCCCATGCTCTCAGGTACGTCTAGGTTAAAGCGCATTTGTTGAATCAAGTCATCGCGATCAAAGCATTTTCGACTGAAAGAGTACGGCTATATAAGTGTAAGAACAAGAAGATGGGATTATTAACAAAGACAGAGAGTGACGAATAAGCCCGTTAAACACTGGTCCGAAATGGAGGTGGTGTGGATTCGCACCTGAAAGGCCACGTGAGGATCGACCACGTCGTCTGTGATGCCGCTGCTTCAGGATGACGATCCTAGTACCTACAGGTCACGGCCGAAACTCTCTTTCTCTGGGTACTCCGTATCAGGAGGCTACCCGGAGAATGGAGCCAATAATTTCAAGACCTTTCGCATGCTTTGCCGATGTTAATCTTTTTGCAACATCTGTGGCTGAGCCAGATAGGTTTGGCGACGGAGGGTGACTGTAAAGGGTAGGTCCAGGTGGCTCGAGGGTAGCAATAGCCGTCCCCTCAACCCTGGCACATTTCCGATTATGACCTATGATTGACAGGCGGCAACTATGCCTTCCGAGGCCGATCTCGCCCCCAAAACTGACTGCCCTGTGATTTTTAGGCTTTGGTAAGACAAAGCAAAACCGACTGATGACTCTTTACGCTCACTACCGTCTCAGCCGTCTCAGCCGTCTCAGCCGTCTCAGCGGTGAACCGGTGAAAAGTTGGGGTTGGTAACGCGGATGCCTTCGGTAATGATGCCGTCGACGGGTGTAGGCTGACAGGATCTTGGCCTCGCATTTCTCCATTATTGTCCACATCAGGATCCTCTCTGTTCCCCAGCCGTGCGTTGGTAAGGGGAAATTGGGGGAAATTGGGGGAAAGTAATAAAGCGCAAAGCAGATTATTCGGCTTCCCTTGGAACAGATGCCACAGACATTCCGCAGTGAAAGTCGGTACTTGTGGCAGGCTGGCAGCAGCAGATGCCTTAGGGATGAACCAATGAGCTTCCGTCAAGCTCTGCTTACATTTGGCAGATTGTTGAGGCTTCGAGTCAATTGGTACAATGCCCACAGGTGCAAACCTCAAGCATGAACCATTCTGGCAAGATTATTTTGCTGGCAAAGATGATCGATTGGATATTCCGAGTACCTTTGTACGCGACATCTGATCGTCAAGCCTGGAATCTAAGGATTCGTGATAGGACGTTATTTTATACTCTTGGGTGAGTTCGAGTAACCCCAACATCATCGGCTAATGACATCATATGCTTTCGACTGGAACCCTTCCGACCTTCAACAGCTTACTCACTTTTCTGCTGTTGCTAAGTTCGAGCTACTTGTTTTTTTCGAATACTTCATTCGCAATGGAAGACCGCAGCTTCCGCAGAATAGGAGGGACACCCCACCAACATACCTAACTGTTGATATCGCAAACCCCAAACCCGTGAGCCGTATCCGAGCCCGACCCTCCAGAAGGCTCCTCACCATCAAGCAATCACTCTCACCATGCCATCCTGGTCCAACAAACCCTCCGGCACCATGACCGCCGCGGTCCTCACATCCCTCGGCGCTCATCCCCCCTCCGCATGCTTCACCATCGACCAGGCCTACCCTAAGCCCACCCTGCCATCCGGGGACTGGGTCCTCGTGCGCGTCAGAGCCGCCGGCCTCAACAGAGCCGAGCTACGCGGACGTAACGGTGATGCGCCCGCCCCGGCAGAATTCGGTATATCCACATCGGAATACCATGAGGATCCGCCAAAGGTAGAGCAGTATGCTCCTCACACCTTCAACCCACCCCCCCTTCCCGGCTCCAAACGATCCCTACCCGAGCCATCTCACTAACCCACCATCCCCCAAGATCCTAGGCGAAAAATCCGTCGGCACCGTCGAAACCGCCGGCGCCTCCACCCCCTTCCACCCCGGCGACCCCGTCGCCGGCTGGGTCTACGGCGGCGGCAAAGCCCACGACGGCGCCTACGCCCAGTACACCCTCTGCCACTCGCGGCGCCGCTTCCCCATCCCGCCCACCTCCCTGCCCTGGGACGTCCTCGGCGGCATCTTCACGAGCATGTGGACGGCATGGGGCTCCCTCTTCGACGCCGCGGAGCCGAACCGGGGATCGACCCTCCTGGTGCACGGCGGCACCAGCAGCCTGAGCCTCTGGGCCATCCTCCTCGCCACCGACCACCCATGCACCGTCATCGCCACCACGCGCCAGGAGGACAAAGCCGCCAAGCTGCAGGACGCGGGCGCGCACCACGTCCTCCTGGAATCGGACCTCGACGCGCGCCTCCGCCCCCCCGTCCCCAAGGGCGCCGACCGCATCCTCGAACCCGTGGGTCCGGCTCAGATCCTCAACGTCGCCCTCCCGCACCTGGCCCGCCGTCGCGACGGGCGTGCCGTCCAAGGCGTGGAGCCTGGACCCACTTCGCGCCGTCGGACATCCCGCCGACGCGGAACCTGACGTTCTACGCTACGGGGGAGGGGGACGGGTGGACGGGGCAGGCGCCGCGGGTGATGGAGGCGGTGGTGAGGAAGGTGGAGAGCGGGCGGTGGCGGATGGAGGGGTTTGTGGGTCGGGTGTTCGGGTTGGGGCGGCGCGTGAGTACATGGAGGGGAATAGGGCGGTGGGGAAGGTGGTCGTTGTGGTGCCGTAGGGGAGTCTGGTGAACAATTCGGGCACTGCGACCCTGAATGGCCTGTAGTCGGAATGTCGGGAGTAGATGTATATCGATGGGAATTTTCTGCGGTTATGCTGGCTCAAGAAGCGGACGGAATGGACAGCATGTCCTCCAGGACTCTGGCCCAGCCCTGCTGGCTCGAAGCACGTTCTCCAGGACACCCCTATTGGGCTCGGAAAACAAACAGACAGCGCAGTCTTTCGGACATTAGCTGAGGAAATTGTGACGTTGGATGGTTAGTTATTCAAGTCGTTCACACCTGCCAGAAAATGGCTAGGGTAGATAGATAGAGTTCATTCATGGTAGATAGATTGTAATCTGATTTGAACCCAAACGAAGCTCCGCTCAGAGAGTAACAAAAGATCGGCTTGGATCGCACTAGACATTTGGGCAGATCATGAGCGATCGCCGTGGTATATAACAGTAAATAAGACACAACATAAAGAACATCAACTCAAACTTTATCATCTCACGCCCAAGCTCTGCCCCCAACATTCAGCCCGAGACCAACGGCATCGCGGATAGCACTCTCGGCGTTCGCACTCGCAATCTCATCGCTCTCTCCAGTTGGGGTGGCGGGTCCTCTATACCCCGAATGCATCAAGCCACCCACATCCCTCTTCCTCTCTCTAACCAACCACTCGAGTGCTCTCGCGAAATCGACTGAATTTCCCGTGTCGGTCTCGGCAAGCGCTTTGGCGGCCTTCTTCTTCTCGAAACCCATAGCTACGAGCCTATCGACAGCGACATCGACAGGGTCGCGGACTTGAGGGCCAGCAGGCACGACGAGGGCAGAGACGAAGTTTTTGGAGGTGTCAAGGTCGGAAGGAGTTCGAGAGTGAGCTGACGGGATGGCAGGAACAGGAGGGGCACTACCCATGTCCAGCTTTTCGAGAACGGCAGGGAATTCTGACATGGGTCTGTCCTCTGAAGGTTGCAGAGCCTTGAAGCCAGGATCGCTGCGCTTGGCACGGATTTCTGCCGCGTGGCGAGCGCAACGCCAGCGGGCGGCCACGACGTCGTCTATGGGCTGTTTGGAGATGGGAGAGGAGGGGTCCGTGATCTTCCCTTTTGAAGACGGGCTGGGCGAGGTAGGATGGCGCTCTGCAATTCTTTCCTGGTAGACGCGGGAGACGGCTTCTTTGAGGAAGGTGGCGCGGGAAACGCTAGGTGTCGTCCAGGTGGTGTAGCCACGCGAACGGGCGTGGGCAAAGGTCGCAGCTGTGGGTGAGGTGGGCGAGGTGACGTCCAGGACGGCGGGAGGAGCGAGAGTGAGGAGGTGGTAGGTCCATTCCTCTGTCGATGGTGTTAGTAAAGGTCTGACGGTAAGGAAGGGAGGCACGTACCAAGCACTGAATCTTCCTGTTCGACATCACCAGTGATGATGTCTGCCTTGTCGAAGATTCCATACTCTCTCGCCTCTTGGCGCTTGCCCTGGAACCCGCGGACGAGAACGCCCAGGCAGGTCCAGATCTCTGTCATATCGTAGAGGTCCTCCGCTGTCAGTCCACCCACATTGCCTTTGCCGAATGTTGGCGGCGAGTTGTAGAGAACACTATTCCTGTTCACGTCGGCACCGAACTCCATGGTGTTGGCAGTCCGTCGTTGATGCTTGGCCATGGTGCCTCCCCTTAGCCAATCCATCTGACCAACGATGTCATCGCCTCGGTTTGATCCACATCCGAACACCTGGCAGAAGGTCCACACACGCCAAAAAGCATCGTCGATCTGGGAGGCTCGTTCAGTCTCACCGCCTGCGAGTGCGGTGATGGTGTCAGCACGAAGGAATGATTCGCAATGTATCAAAATCATTGACTTGAGAGCGATCATGGTGTACATGTCCCTCATGTAGTGTTGTAGATAGAGAGAAGGCGAGTATTCAAGCAACTTTGGAAGAGCGTTATCACCGCTTTCTAACCCAGGATAGGGTGGGCTCATTTCGCGAAGCTCCCAAGCAGCTGGAGACATGCCGTAAAGCGCATTCTTCATCAAGGGAAGCTCTTGTCGCTTGAAGGTGCGGTAGAATCCCCTGCTGACTGTAGCAGTAGCGAAGAGATCTTGCAGGTTGTCAAGGCTTTCCAAGATGCGTAGAAGGACTACCTCAGCTGCATCGGCGGAGATGTCACGTTCGACGTCTTCTACAAAGAAAGACTGTCGACTTCTGATCGTCAAGCCTGGAGATGGGAGGCTGGCATAGATATCTGGAATCTCTGACATCGCAATGGACGCAAGGGATCGTGGTCTCTCAGTCATTACAATAGAAGCCATTGACCGGCGTCGTTGGGGCGACTCGTCCTGGGCAGCCCGCCTCTGAAGGGGGTGGATGTTGCTTTCGTCATTCTCGTCTATGGGCGCATCAAGGCCGATCGCGATGGTGACCTGAGATTCCTGAAATTCCTCGACTGGCTTTAAGTAGATGGCGGGCGCAGTCAGTTCAGTCTGAGCGTTGCTACTGTTCTCTGGAGTTGTCGATGGCAGTATCGTGTCAGGAGTCGCGTCATCGATTTGTGTCTGTAGTGGCCTACTAATGGAAGAAGACGATTCTGAATGTTCCTTTGTTTTCGGAGCGAAGGCCGCGAACTGTTCAGAATCATTGTTGTTCTTGGGGCTTAGTAACTCCAACCTCGCTCGAACTTCTTCGTAAGCGTGATCTGGGATGGAAGAAATGTCGGTCTCAGGGGTGCTCGAATCCTCTCTTGACATGGTCGGGCTTGAAGAATCGCCGTCATACATAGTCTGGGGAGATTCGCTAGAGCTCCAGTTAGATTCCGAGCTGCTTTCCCTCGCCATTTGAGTCGCAGATTTGCCAAGAATCTTGTCGGCTTTTGCGGTCGATCCCACTGCCGGCGCGGAAATGCGGCGACGTAGGCCACTCCTGCTGCTGTCATCGGAATCCCACTTTGATGAGTCTCCACGCATCTGCATGGCAACGTGGGTTGCACTCTTCTTCTGAAATCGCATCCGGCTGCTGATACTTCCATCGCTCAGTTTCAGCGACGATGGCGGATGAGGTGCGTGTCGTGATGGAACCATCGTGTTGGGTCCACGACTTATTTGCAGAGGGTCATGTGCCATAGGCATCATGTTTGGATGTTGCATTGTAGGCTCTTCGCTGATGGTGCCTAAATGAGCTTCCAACTCCGCCTCAGCCTGACTCAGCGAGGGTTCGGGTTGGTACTCGAATCCTGCCTGGACGTTGGGACTCGTCTTTGTGAAGGCAGCGTCAAGAGCGTCAAGGTCGGCGGGAGTATATTTCGAGCGCAAGGAGGACATTCGAGATGGAAACTGTGACGGCGTCTCATACATAGACGACCGTGAAAATGTGAGAGGCGAGGGCACCTTTCGCTTTCCCTTCATGCTGCCGGCCCGAGAGTATGCAACATTCAGGGGCGCCACTTCTGGTCCTGGCTCCGGTGGTAATGGCTTGTTCATGTCGACAGAAGCTAACGAGGTCGTGCTCTTGAAGGCCCTCAGCCTGTTGTTGTTCAATGCGAGCGGTGGACCGTCAAACACCCCAGCTGCCGCGGGTGATATGATGGAGAAGGCGATGCTTCGACACCGGTTGAGGGATTGGTGAACGGCAGTATCCTCCATCAAACTTGACCTCGAGGAGCGACCGCTGTAATTTGATGATCTGTCATCAAGGTCGCCTGTGTCATCCGACGAATCCGAGCGCGCCAATTTTTCCAACGACGGAGCGTTACGAGGCGTGTCGCTTGTCATGTCTTCCAGAGATGAGGCAGAGAAAGGCCTCCTTGGTTTTGGCATTTCAACGACTGATAGAGGAGAAACGACGGATAACCTTGCAGGCACGTCCCCTGCGTTTTGCTGATGTGTGGTCGATGAGGGAGGCGAAATTTGCGTCTGTATATCCCTACTTCTCCTCTGCGACTTTTGCCTGTCCATCTGCGTTGCCAAATGTGAGGAAGAGTGCGGTCGTCTGGTGACTTTTCCAGGGATGGTGACCTGTATTTTGGGTCTTCGGTCTTTGGCAGAGGGCGCAGCAGCGGGATCCACGTGGAAGTTCACTTCCATTGAGTCACCAGTCATTGCACTTATGTCAGAGTCTGGCCGCGCCTCCGAAGCCTCTGGTACTCTGAGTCTTTGTATCGCTGCAGGCCGTGGCTTCTCTTCTCCCTGCAGACCGAAAGCCTGTGACAGGTACTGGTTGTATGCGATTGAGCGATAGGACTGGTCCATGTTGTTCGACGGCCTCATCTGCTTCACACTGATGCCTTTGTTTTCCCTGCCTGTTTCCACTCCCCGATGTGGTCCATCGTTCCTCCTCGAGTGCACACCTTCACCTTGATTGTGTGATGCTGCTTCCATTAGGTCGAGATGCTTGGGAGGCCTCCTGATGGAACCGGCAGCCATGGCGGACGCCAGTGGTTTCGGTCCTGGATTACTCTCGTTCGAATTTTTCTTTCGGTGTAGATTCCTCATCTTGTCCGACAGAGACCTATTGTGTCCAGTTGATAGCCCCATGTCGGAGCCTTGGAGATGTGTATTAAGTGGTCTGTTCGTGGCAGCAAGGGTAGATCTGGTCTTGGAGTTCAAACTCAAGGACCTGCGCAAGCTGCTGTTGCTGCGGTCATTCCTGTGTGAAGGAGTAAAGATGATTCCGCAGCCCGGTGCAGCCATGTTGGTGGTGGGGGCTTGTTGGTAATACGGTCACTCGGGAAATTGGAAAGCTTCTAAAGGACGGCACAGCCCACATCAGTAACGATCAAACACGACATGTCTGAGCTCAGCCTAACAACGAGATGATCGAACTTACATATAT